TTCTTTCTTTCTTTCTTTCTTTCTTTCTTTCTTTCTTTCTTTCTTTCTTTCTTTCTTTCTTTCTTTCTTTCTTTCTTTCTTTCTTTCTTTCTTTCTTTCTTTCTTTCTTTCTTTCTTTCTTTGCCTTCCTGTCTTCCTGCTTGCCTTCCTTCCTTGCTTCCAAGTAGCTGAAACGAGAGGGCAGCCCACCTTCTCCTGACTCTCTAACCCCAGGGACATTTGGGGCTTTTCCTGTGTTCCTCCAGTTTATCCGAGATCCCGTCCCCTCCTTTTTCATTGCCTCGTCGGTTTTGTTTTGTCTGGGCTGACGCTCAGGCTTGAAATAGCCAAAGTATCTCTAAAAGCCGGCAGTGCTCATATCCTCTCTTTCCTTCCTGTGGCCGCTAATCATAGCTGGCTCCCCCGTCGCCACCTGGTCCTTGCCAAGCATGCGTGGGAGTTGCAGAGAAGTTCCACGGATGGGCTCTTTTGGCACGGAGCAAACTCATAAAGTCCTTTCCTGGGAACGGCAGCACAGGCATGCGCTCCTTATGCGCACCAGATGCTGCTCCTTTCCACTCCCGCGGCGGCATCGCTTGCCCGTTTTTCCTCCAGGGAACGGCTGGCCTGGGCCGTGGCTCTCGTCTCTTTTTGATGCCCTCTCCAGCTCAGCCCTGCCGGGTCGAAGATGTGAGGCCTTCCTCCTTTCGCCCTCGCCTGCCAGGACAAGGGGCTGTGAGGTGGCAAAGGGACAAGGGAAGGAGAACCGCAGATTTGGTGTGAATTAAGCCAAAGCGAGCAAATGACGCTTGAATGCCTTTCAAGCAAATTGTGGGAAACGGCGGCCTCACCTGTTGTGTTGCGTTCAGGTCTGAAGGTGAAAAGCAACGGAGGAGTTTGTGTGTGTGTGTGTGGGGGGGGCTTTATGAGCCATTAGCCAATCCATTTTGTGTTCACGCGAAGTGCATGCACGCATGCATGCGTGGGCACACTGGGTTCTCCAAAAGACAGGAACCGATGGACCACTCTAGGCGGCTTCATGCGAGGTGCATGCACGCATGCGTGGGCACAGTGGGTTCTCCAAAAGACAGGGCGCTCGTTTCTGAGCAGAGACACTTTCTGCAAGTCATGGAGACATCAGTGAAGGGGGGGGGGATAACCCGTCTTGTCTCGCTCTTGGCAGGAAGGTGGGGTTCGGTGGAGTCGAGGTAACCTAAAAGAGTAAGAATGGGGAGCTGAGTGGGTTTCCTTTATGTCACAGCATAGGAAACATGTGTCTTTGGGTCTCCTCGTCTGGGCCGGCTTATCCCGAGGGCTAGGCTGCCCAGATGCATAGGAAGACTTCGGCACCCCCTCTGTCTCTTGCTCTGAAGGGCCAAAAGCTGTTTCTCATCTTGGCGTTTAGGTGGGGTCTTCCTCCACCAGACTCAGCCGGGGCTAGCCGGGCTGCTGTTCAGCTGGTGAGGCTGCAGGAGAGCTTTCTGGGGAGGGGGTCAAGCCAAGGGCACGGTCTGAATGTGGCCGATCCGCTGGGAGAGGATCGCCTGGAGCCGAGTGTCCACCTTGCTTCTCCGGAAGGGGAGAATACTTTTGGCGGGGCTTTGATCTCTTCCTTCTTCACCTGCGGGTTCTTCCTTGGCCCGTTGAAGGTTCAAGGCTGCGTGGCAGCGGGGAGGAGGGGGCACAGTCCAGAAGCAGCGGCTCATCCACAATAGAAACACCAAGTCTGCTTTTTTGCCCAGGGGTGTGTGTGTGCGTGCGTGCGCTGTGGTTCAGCTTATGTCTCTTGTTTGTGATTCGCCGTGTAGGGTCGCTGTTCATGTCTCTCTAGAAAGGGACGATGACAACGTAGGAAGGCAAATGTACCGCGTTGTTTTGCATAGTACAAAACAGGTTGTGCCTGCTGAGCCTTCTCACGCAAGACCAGAATCCGGGGACCTCCGCTCCAGCGGAGTGTTGGGAGAGGGAGGACAGACCAAACCAAATATATCTTGACCTGGCGTGTGGTTAGTCTGTGGAACTCCTTGTCACAGGACGGCATCTAGAGACCTTGAAAAGGGGGTGAGACAGGCTCCTGGAGGAAAAGTCCCCTTGCAGGTGACAAGCCATGATGGGGAGGTATCATCTCCAGGCTGAGAAGGAAGGGAAGGGTTGTCAAGAGACAAGTCTCCAGTGGTCTCGTGGGCTCTCAGAGGCATCATATGGTGGGGCCCCTGTGAGATACAGGGAGATGGACTAAGAGGGGCCCTTTGCTGAGGCAAAGAGGTCGTCCCGGAAGCAGCAAAAGCAGGGAGCTGGACAGGGGACAGACTGGATTTGCCTTCCGTGTGGAAGGGATGGTCACTCTCGAATTGGCCTCCTCAGCCACACTAGACGCTGTTCCAAGTCCTCCATACAGAGCACGTTACCCTTGTCTCTCGAGACCGAAAGATGCCTAATGTATGTAATGTAAAAGCGAGAAGAGCAGGATATATCTTGTGGGGGGTTATGTTTTCGTTGGAGACTATGCAAGCTGAGAGCAGATATACCAATACGTCTTCTCCCTTTGCTCTGAGATTATCATCATTAGACATTGTGGTCCTTCTCTAGTGTGACTTGATTCAGAGGTGTTAATGATGCTGCCGGGCCACCTTGGTTCTCTCCCTTTGAAGAGGGTGTCTCTGAGGACAAGAGTTTCTGCAGTTGCAGGAAGGCGCCTCTGGCCACCGAGTCCACCTGGGCCTCCAGAGTTAGACTGGAGTCCAGGAGCACCCCCAGACTGCGGACCCTGTCCCTTAGGGGGAGTGTAACCCCATTCAGGGCAGGGAGATGGCCCTATAAGCTGTCCAACGAACCCCCATGGGGGAGTGTAACCCCATTCAGGGGAGGGAGATGGCCCTGTAAGCTGTCTAACGAACCCCCACTAACAGGACTTCTGTTTGAGTTTCAATTTATTAACCCTCATCCAGTCCATTATCAGGTCCAGACATGAGTTCAGCACAGAAACCGCCTCACCTGGATTGGTGGAAAACGAGAGGTAGAGCTGAGTATCATCAGCATATTGCTGACTCCTCAGCCCAAACCTCCTGATGACCTCCCCCAGTGGTTTCATGTAGATGTTGAACAGCATGGGGGACAGTATTGAGCCCTGAGGAACCCCATGACATAAATGCCATGGGGCCGAGCCGTTGTCCCCCAGCAGCACCTTCTGGACTGTCAGCCAGGAAGGAGTGGAACCATCCATGTTCTTGAATGCCTCCAGTGTTGGAGCACTCACCAGCCCCCGAGGTCACTGGTTCCACTGTCCAGATATAAACTTGCAACCCTCTGTTCAATACCCGGTGAAGCTGATTAATTCACGGAGGGTTTGTTGAAAGCTTCCACCAATGGCAGAGTGGAAGGTCCTACACCTTCGCACAGAGAAAGCCCCTCTGGGACTTTTTATGGTTCAGGGCTCTCGGCATTTTGGCTGAGACCTTGGCAAAGTGCGGTCGGCTGGGTAGAGAGGGCCGTGATGCGTCTTGACATGCTCAAAGTGTCAGGCTTCCGGGCTCTGGCCAGCAACCCTTGACACCCAGCGGTTCTCAAAAGCGAGACGAGTGGTGAGCAGAGTTAACAGGTCAATTTCGTTGTCATCTCTGGCATGACCTTGACGTGGACCTTGGCTTGGCCGCCCTTCAGCCTCTGCTTAGGAGGAAACATCTGAACTTACCTTTTGCAGGAACCAAACCTCGAGGGACAAAAGAAGCCACTTACTCCAAACCCCGTGGGGTCCCTCCCCAGGACCAGGAGTCCTACGATGCCGAGATCGCCCGGAAGCTGCAAGAGGAGGAGCTGCTGGTGAGCAGGAGGTTTCCCAGAGAGAAAGAGAGAGACAGTCCAGGGGGTGGGGGGTGAGGGAGCCGTGAAATAATTTCCCCAGCTCCCAGTCCAGGACTTGTCCTGTTCAGAGTCCAGCTTCCAGGGGTGGAACTCTCTCTTTTCTGACTGGGCCTTTGGGAAGTCTACAGTTACTTCGTAGAATTGTCGAAGGCACTCCGGAGGTCCTCCAGTCTGACCTCCTCGCAGCACAGGAGATCCATAACGGAAGCGCCTCTGACCTCTGTTTAAAAAGTTCCTGGCAGAAAAAAGAGGTCTTGGGGGTAGGTAGCAAGGGCTTCTTCATGGATAGTTGGCGTCTACATCCTTGTAACCTGGATCCGTTGGTTCAGATTCTGCTGAAAACCGGCTTGCTTTGTGCTGAAACTGGTTTATTTCTTAAATGGGAAGAGACATTCATTAACTTAAAACACGACCGCGAAGGGCTGCAGGGCCCCTCCCTCGTTTCTCCCATTGGTCAGGTACTCCAAGGTGTGCAGCCTATCCGGTGTGCCTAAACCGATCACGAGAAGTCCCGCCTCTGTCTAGATCTCCCACTCCCCTCTTTACCTAGACCCCAGACTTTCCTTCCTTATTTGGTCTATGTTCCCTTTCCCTCACCTCTCCCACTCCCCTCTTTACCTAGACCCCAGGCTCTTCTTTCTTTCTTTCTTTGGCCTATATTTCTTTTCCCTCACCTCCCCTGCGGTCGTTCTAACTGACCCATTAAGCTTCATTATTAGCTAGGACTATTCACTTGAATCTTTTTGTCAGTACAATAGGGCACCTCCCTGATCTGTACTTCCTTATTTTAGTTTCTCAGACATCCCCTGAAATTCCTTATGGCAACTAAACAATTAACAAAATACATATACTAATTGGTTACGAGACTTAATCATCTTGTCCTCACAGGATTTTGCAAAAGCAGCACCGATTCCTCCTTTTCCTCTCACAAATGTCTGATAAACCTCGCAGCCCAGGCCTCCCGATCCATGACCCACGGGGGTGTGTGCTCTTCTGTGCCTTCCTACATAGTAGGATGTGTGTGTTTGTGTGTGTGTGCGCACACGTGTGCATTGGGAATTATAATCCGGCACACCCAGAGCAGCCTCCCCTGGAAGAGCTGTCCCTGGACGGGAGTCCCAGAGAACTCCCCACACACACGAAGAGCGGAATTCTCCTGCAAAGCCACCCCTAACCCTCCACCTTCTTCTCACCCAAACAAGGCCGCCCAACTTCCTGCTGCTTTTCACGGCTTCTCCTTCTTTTCCCTTTAGGCCAGCCAGGTGGATAAGAGGGCGGCGCAGGTGGCTCAGGATGAGGTAGGTGGGCTCATGTGTCCGTGCACGCATGCATAGCGCTCCCTCTTGTATAGGCCATGTCAGCTGAGGGGCGCTCCACCTCTGGATGCTTCTTCTGCTCACGTCCTGTTTGCTGTCCAGCCTCATGGAGCCTTGCACGCATCTTTTTTGCCTCTAGCTGTCCTCCCCTCTCCTGGTTCTGCCGTTCTTGCCCTGGCGTGTCCTCTCCGGCTGGCTGGAAAGGCTATCATCCGGCGGCCTGTCTCCCCAAAGGCCAAGCCCAGCGTTCAGCCTGGGGCCTCTTGCCAGGGTCACAGGAAGTGCTGGGGTGCCTCATTTAGTTTGCAAAATAAAATAAAATGCAACTCTTGTAAACTACCCAGAGTAGTGGCTGGTCCTAGATGGGTGGTATATATACATATACGTGTGCAGTTCGTAATATAAATACTATCTGAAAACTTCAGGAGACGTCGGATGAGGTGGTTCCTTTGCAGGAAAAAAGAGTGTCCGAACGACTTTTCGGGATTTTCTGTGGCAGATGCTTCTGTAGACAGGAATCCACGAGACTCTTCATTCTTCCCTTGCTTCAATACGTGGCTGCGTTTTGGAGGATGGTGAAGGAACTTTGGAGACCACCCTCTCCTTTGATGTTCTCAAAGAGAGACCCTCTTGGCTTGCTTGTTTGGGGACATTAGTGCCCAAATCCCCCAGCCCCCAATTGGGTGCCCCACTGCGATGCTTTCTGAGGCAGGTGCAGAGAGCGGGTTCTAAGAAGCTCTAAACAGCTTGGGTCCAAATTATCTCAAGGGCCGTGTCTCCCTTTATGAGCCTGCCTGGCTGTTAAGATCATCAGGAGAGGCTTTTTTCCCCAGTCCCACCAGCTTCACAGTTTTGCTTGGCAGGGACACAGGAGAAAAGCCTCCTCTGTGGCTGCTCTCAGACTTTGGAACTCCCTCCCACTGGAGGCCAGGCTGGCCCCATCTTTGCTTTCCTTCCATGAGCACAACAGTCTCCAGGACCTTTCTTTCTTAGGAAAGCGTTCCACCTCTGGATTTACTCCCCATTTGAAAGTTCACCCCGACTCGCACCCACCCACCCAGCATTTGACAGTGCTTAACAGGGAACTGAACCCTGGAGCATCGTTCAGATGCATCAAGACATCTTAGTCTAGCTGGCTAAAATTTAAGTTAGATGTATTCTTGAAGGCTTTTGCGTCCGGGATCCAATGATTGTTGTGGGTTTTCTGGACTGTTTGGCCATGTTCTTAAGGTTTTTCTTCCTAACATTTTGCCAGTCCCTGTGGCCGGCATCTTCAGAGGACAGGAGTCAGAACTCTCACTGTGCTCTGGTGCAGTTTGTGGGATACAGTAGTTGAGTATATATAGCTGTGGGATCAGCTTTTGTTCTTTTCAGGAGATTGGGTGATTGTGGTGGTCAGCGTGTTTTACCCACAACAAAAAAGAAAGAAGAACCTCCATAACACGGCCAAAGAGCCCGAAAAACCCACAACAACCATTTAAGTTAGAATTTGATGTCTTCATTCAAAAACTGATTGCAGGGCAGTGTGCAAACAAATTAAAAGTGGAAATAGGGTCATTTAAAAATGCACGGAAACATTTATCCACAGGGCAGTAGAAGCAGGAGGGTGAAACTTTTTCACCAGCAGAAAATACTAAGATTTGAAACCGTTGGGAAAATAAGAAGGTTTTAACCTGGTGCTATTTAAAACAGCTGCACTGTTTTTGAAACGGGTGTGGAAACAGCAACAGAGCAACTGACCAAGAGCCCGCAGTAGGTGCCGGAAAATGAGGCCAGGGGAAAGACAAGAGTCAGATTCTGCCCTAGGCCTGTGGGATTTTTGCACTGAAGATTCATTCGGTGCTTGCCAGAAGCTGCCGTGGTCTTGGTTTGGGCCCTTGTTTAGATGTTTGGGTAGGAACATGGGTCCCCTCACCCTCTACTTGACTTGAGCTCTCAGCCTTCTATTTCCAGCTGGCCAGTGAGGCCCAACGGTGGAAGGCTGGTCACCTCCCAGTCGCTTGCTCAGTGGGCCTATTTGCTGAAGCTGCCATGATCCCAACCTTCTGGAGGGAGGTCCTTCACAGTACTTTCATGTCTTCCTAGGAAATAGCTCGCCTCCTTATGGCGGAGGAGAAGGCGGCGTACAAGAAAGCAAGAGAGAAGGAAAAGTTGTTTGCTGAGAAGAAAAGGCAGGATCCAGGCTGGAAGGTGGGTAGAGACTCATTGGCTGGACATTTTGCCCAGCAAGAGGGCAGAGAGGAAGGGAAGAACTTTTCCCCTGGAGGGGCAGTGAGGTGGTTCTCTCCCTTCCAGGGGCCATTCAAAGCAGTAGATCACCATGAAACCGCTGGGGAGGGGGGTGAGCAGAATATATTTGCACTAAGCCAAGTCTTTTATTCTGGGAAAGGATCTTGTTTCTTGGGAAAAGGTTTGCTCTCCTGAAGTAGGAGCCTCGTGGCAAAGGGGTTAAACTGCAGTACTGCTGTCAAAACTCTGCTCACAACCCTGGGCTCAATCCCAGGTAACTGGCTCGAGGTTAACTCAGCCTTCCATCCTTCTGAGGTCAGTAAAATGAGTACCCAGCTTGCAGGGGAGGAGGGGTGGTGGTCGATCAATAGCTTGCATGGTTAATTTGTAGACTGCCCAGAGGTGTCTGGAAGTTGAGTCATGGCAACTGGACTTCTTTCTTACTAGGTTGACACTATTTCAGTCCTCCTCCGAGTAGCTACTGTAGTCTGAAGAGAGTTGGTAGGAGGCCCCTGCATATCTCCTCCACCTTGGTTCCACTCCCCCCTGGTCTGAATAGGCTCGTTAGAAGGACAAAGGATTTGGGGGTGAGGGATAATCCCACTTCTGCAGTCCTTCTCCACCCCTTGTCATGGGTGGTTAGTGGTTGTTAACAGTGGTGTTTTTGGTGGTGATCCCTTCTAAGGCTTCCACCCCTGTTGAGTGAGAGATTTTCTATATTCACATGTATGGCCTGCCTGACCCCTCTCTTTCAAACCACCTACCCCTCTTCTGGGTCCAAAATGAATCCATCTGGATTATCAGAGGAATGTAAGTACATCTTGGTCGCCTGACCCCTCTCTTTCAAACCACCTACCATCAAACCACCTACCATCAAACCATCTGGATTATCAGAGGAGTGTAAGTTCATCATGGTAATCGAATCAGTGTCCTTTGTCCTTCAAAGGAAAGAACGCTGCTGATTGTGGTCCTCCTGAGCCATTGCCCTTCCTGTGCTGGGCCATCTTCCTGTTTAGCGGCTCTTTGGTTTCTCCAGCGTAGAGCTCCGAACACTCCTCTTTGCATTGGAACTGCGTATATTCTGTGGCTCCTGTTGTGTTTTGGTGTGCGGTCTAAAGAAGCTCCTTGGAGGAGGAGCGAAACGTTTCAACCTAACAAGAAGGAAGTCCAGTTGCCAGGACTTCCAGATAAACCTCGCCTGGGAAGTCCAGTTGCCAGGACTCCACTTCCAGATAAACCTCACCTGGAGGACGGAGCACCTTCACGGATCTATTCCTCAGAGAGCGCTTTAAGCACTGTGGGGAGGTGTAGAAGCAGCACATTTTGCTTTTCCTTCACTTTCCCCGGCTTTGTAGTCGGTTGAGGCCTCGCAACCTAATCCTCGTTTTACTTCCCTCTGATTGCTCGTTGATTGCTACCTGCCATGGTTTTTAATGGTTCATATAGTTCTGATTTCATGTTTTGAAAGGTGTGGTTTGGCTAAACTTTTGAGGTGGCCCGGTTGCTGCTCCTTGTTAAACGAGAGGCAGAGTTGAAGTTGTAACACGGATGACTTAAAATGGAAGCGTAATTTTGGTACCCGTTGCCCTCCATGATGGTTCTGGGCCACTATGAAAACGTGTTTTTGAAACCTTGTTTTTGAAAAGCAAGAGGGAGGGCAATATGTCAACAATAGCAGAGGCAACCCAACGAGAAGTCTATGACTGTGGGAGGCATTCGAAAATGTTGCTGTATAAAAGCTGTCCTGGGTCAAGGACGTTAGAGCCGCGTTGGGTCAGATCAAAGGCCCACAGAGCTCAGCATCTTGTCTCCAGTTTAGGGCCTCTCGGGGCCACTGGAAGCTTGCAACCCAGTACCCTGAGGTTGGTCCCAATCAGAGTAGACCCCTTGACCAGCCATGATTGATGCGAGTATAGACTGAACTGTTCCGCCATTGATTCAGTGGCTTGTCTCTCTACCTGAGAGTAGCTGCTAGGATGCTGGCCAAAGAGGGGGGGGGGAATCCCTGGAGCTGGAAAAGGCTTGACTGAGGTGACAATTCCTTCTAGCCTTCAGTTTTGGAAACACAGGGGAGGAGTTAGATTCCTCGGGGGGGGGTGCTCTGTTTTCCTTCTGCTGTCGTCCAGTTGTAGACAAGGCTTCGATCCTTGAAATCCTCAGAGCTCCTGAATTCTGTGCCAGGGGTCGCGCCCTGTTCCTCTTGTCCCAGCGCCACCGACCATGGCGCTCAAAGGCAACCTGTTGTGTTCTCTCTTCTCCACACAGCACGACACACCGGAATCCGTGCCTCCGAGGTCAAGGGAGGGTCACGAACCGCATCGAGGCCGAAGTGACAAACCAACACGGTAACCGATGCAGGGCCGAAAGCCGAGCCTCCGCGTGGCTCGGAAGGAGATGGTCCCCTTGGGGTTAGAGTGGGTGGGGTTGAAGGAAGGGGCGTGGGGGCTCCTGCCACTGCACGACACCGGAGGGGTGCTTGTGCCAAGCTTCTGTCAGTAGCCCTCTTCCTCCCCACAGACACACAGCATTTTCCCTTCCCTGAGAAGAGCAGCCTCTCAGGGTGAAGGTTTCTGGTTTCACCTTCCCTCCAACCTCTAGTCCTCTGTGTGCAAGGAGTGGTTTTGGGGTGGAGGGCCTTTGAATCAGCTGACCTTCCACTCGTAGCACAGCTCAGACGCAGGCTGGCCACTTCCAGCATAAACTGTACGAAGCACAAATGTCGTCAGCTTCTGCCTATTGGGATTGGCACAGCTGGCCATGGTGGGCGAAGGCAGATCCTGTTTCTTCCCTTGTCTGCCTCCCCACCAGGGAAATGGAGAGTCTGGGAATTCAGCAGGAGGGGAACGCAACCGCCCGACCCTCTGTCTCTGTTAAGGAGGCAGGCAGGATGAGGCCAATCCAAATCATTACAAATTTTGGGGTGCAAAATGGCTCTGTGGCCTCATAGGCCCCTCCCATCTCCACCACTCTAGAATTCTGACACCTTCCAGCCTCTGATGGAAGTTTTGGAGATATCCAAAGCGTGTGGGCTGTTGTGGAGCCACCTTTTTGTCCTCGGAACAGAATCGCCCGTTCCCTTGTGAATGTTCCTTCCCCTCACCGGGTCCTTTAAGTGGCCTTAATCCCCAGCCAAGGAGGCTAATCTTCCAAGCCATTGAGGGGAGAGAGATCCTCACCAGCTGGGTCCCCCCCCAGTCATCTCTTAACCATTCCCCCATCCTCTCTCCTCCAGGCCTCCGCCACCTCCCACGGAGGATCTGGACCATCTGGTTAATCTCACAAGCCAGCAAAACTCAGCCTATCAGATACCGAAACCAGAGAGTTCCCAAAAAGGTGAGCTGGAGGGGGTGGGTGGCGGGAGACCCTTCCTGGCTGACTGGCCAGACTGGATTGTCTGCTCATTTATATTCTTTTCTGTGTGTGTGTGTGTGTGTGTGTGTGTGTTGTTCCAACGCAAACCCAAGAAACGAACAGATGAACACCAAAACATTTGCAACTGCAACCACTTTCTGAGCGAAGGGTTGCCTTTTCTGACAGATTGCAATATTTTTGGCTGTGACTGCATGATTGTTCTTTTTTAAAAACCAGCCCCCAAATGATCTCGTCCGGAAAAGGCTGGAGCCAGCAAACGGCCCTGAAGGTGGCTCACGTCCATCTGGTTCATGAGAAGGAAATGGGTGGCCAGGCTGGGGGCCAGGGAGGATGTTGTCCATGGTGGGCTTTGAACACCTCTCGATCCCACAGAAACCAGCAGAGCTTGGGGTGGAGGGGAATTTCCAGGGGCGGGGGGGGTAATGCCTTTATTGGAATATCCTTGTATATGGGTTTGATTGCTAAGAACTGCTGGAGTGGGTGAGGGTTGGGGTTTTCCTCTGTGCCTCACTCCTCAAAGCAGGACCCTGCGTGGAGACGCCACACAGCCCTGTCCTCGCGGCCGCACGAGGGTCTTATTTCAGGTGCCCCCAACGGGCACCGTCTCCCACTTTCTTTGGGCACCCAGTTAAAACATCTGGCCGTTCACCTCTCCCCGTTTTGCCCCTAGAGAAGCCGCCCCGGAGCCTGCCATCCTTTCCTCGGTTGGGGTTTGTCTGCTCTGTGTTTGTTTTGTTGTTCTGTTTAATGGTTTACAGTATCATAAAGGGTTTAAAGTCTCCTCTCCCCCGAAATCTGTAGAGATGAGACAGGTCAGGAATATTTAAACAGACCTATACTCTCTCTCTCTCTCTCTCTCTCTTGTTCTCTCTCTTTTTCTCAGGTGCAGGTTACCACTATAAGCCGTAGGGGAGAAAGCCAGATGGTTGGTGTTTTTTTTTTTTATTGTTTTTTTTGTGGGTAGCAACTCTCCTCTGTAGCAAACCGTGCCGGTCTTCTTCCTGAAGATGGCCTCTCCGAGGGGCTCCACAGACGGCATCTCTACCGGTGTTGCCACACCCCAAGTCAGTGCCTCTTCTTCATCATCATCATCATCGTCTTCGTCTTCGTCATCTTCTTCAGTCTGTGAAGCTTCCTCTCTCTCATCGCCTCTGATCGCTCAGGCGGGGCTGTTGGTGGGTGATCAGAGGGTGAGCTGTTGAGCCGGGGCTGTCCTCCACCCATCCTCTCCCTCTCTCCCTCTCTCTCTCTCCTCTCTGCTCCACTGGTTGGCTCCTGGCTCTTGCCCTGGAGGTGCCCATCCTTTCCGGTTACGGTTGGCCAACAAAGCTGCTTCTGTATGGTGGGCGCAAGAGCGAAGAGGGGAGAACGAAGAGGATGGGGAGGGAGAAGGAGACGTCGCCCCTCCTGCTTTATCTGTGATGGCTGGACTCAGATGAAAGGGAAGGTGGGCATGTCTCCACTTGGTAGCAGTTCATGTGAACATTTCCAACCCGTTGGAGCTGTGAGGAGACACTCCCCCCCCCATTTATTTCCTGGTCCTCTCCCTACCACCTCTGTTTTAGAAGTGATGGTCTCACCACCGGGCTGTCCTCATCGAACATGGGTTGACTGAATGCTTCTCTCTAGCAAATGGAGACACACGTGGACCTCCGTAAGCCACGCGTTCCGTGATTTCATTCAGGGCTGCTTTGCCTATCACACATTGGGGGACGTTACACCAAAGAGACCTTCAGGGTACCTGGGAAGAGAGAGGAGATTTCCTGCTGGGTCAGAGTCCTGTCCATACTCAGTGCGAAAACCCAGGTTTCCTGTTTTTTTTTTGCTAGCAAATGGAGACACACGTGGACCTCCGTAAGCCACGCGTTCCGTGATTTCATTCAGGGCTGCTTTGCCTATCACACATTGGGGGACGTTACACCAAAGAGACCTTCAGGGTACCTGGGAAGAGAGAGGAGATTTCCTGCTGGGTCAGAGTCCTGTCCATACTCAGTGCGAAAACCCAGGTTTCCTGTTGTTGTTTTTTTTGCATTGTGTGAAACAGCCTTTGGTGATCACGCCAACAGCATTCCTAGAAGCCAGCTTGGAATTGAGCTGGAGACGTGAACGTAGTATTTGCAGGGACTGTTTTCAAGCACATAACTCGTTATTTTATTTTACAAAGTTAACAAAATTACGAGCTGGTGTTCGTGAACCTCAGCAAAGACTTGAGGTTCACACTCTAAAAAGAAGGCTCAGCTCCTGGTCACCTAGCTTTGTAACCTAAAGGTTGTCCTGGTTCCCAAATAGCATGGAGAGACCTCTGCACTCTGTGGGAAGGCTCTGCCTTCTAAGAACAGAAGGAAGAGCTTTCGGTTTGCAAAGGTACGGAATCTTGAAACCTGTTTTAAGCTGTAGAGACCCGGTGGAGTTACAGGATTTATCAACACCTCTTGTGCATTGTTAAGACAGTCCCGTAGAAAATACTCAAGTTACACAATGAAAAATGGCTAAAATCCTGTTGGGCACTGAGGCAAGCAGTATAACTTTTGGAAGAAAATTGCTGCAATATAAGAAAACCACCGTGGATGTTACCTGTTGCATACCTACGGCAGATAATTGTAGAAGATGTTGCCGGGTTAGTCTGTGCAAGCAAATCAGGCCAAAAGCAAAGGAAAATAAATAAAGACAAAAAAATGTTCTGGGACCTTAAAGACTAACTGCTATATTTTAATGTGAGCTTTCGTGGACAAGTCCTCGTAGACCATGGAAAAGCACGTTAGGATATGGCACTTAGTCTTTAAGATGCCACAGTGTTTTTACCTTCTTTATTCTTTGTTTTTCTTCGATTTTGGCCTGATGTGGTGGATTGTGCCTTTGGGAATTTCTTAACTTATCACAACTCACTTCTAAAATGTACAGCGTTTGGGTAACTGTGCAACAGGATTTCAGCCATTATTGTGCTACTCTTTCTAAAATTCTTAACAGGATTAAGGATTCCCTCCCCCCCCCCCCCCGCCTTGTGAA